TGCTGCCTTATTTAATTAATTCATTTATTGCCAGCCTCGGTGGCTCAGCCTGTAATCCCACGCTTTGGGAGGCTGAGGTGAGTGGACTGCCTGAGCCCGCGGATTCGAGACCCACATGGGCAACTTGGCGAGACCTCATCTCTACAATAAATCAAAAAATCAGCCGGGCGTGGTAGCGCATGCCTCTAATTCTGGCTACTCGGAAGGCTGAGGCGGAAGGATCGCCGGAGCCCAGCAGGTCGAGGCTGCGGTGGCCGGGAGCGGCCACTGCACTCCAGTCTGGGTGACAGAGTGAGGCTCCAACTCAAAAAAAAAAAAATTCATTAATTTTTGAGTGGCAACCCTGGGCAGAAGGCTCTTCTACAACAAGAGTTGTAGAACATGAGAATCGCTGCAAATTAATTTTGAAATGGCTTATTATTAACAAGAGTTGTAGAAGAGGCAAGATGAGTGATGTCTCTCACCAGTATCAACTTGGATGCAGAGGAATCTCTGATCACCTGAAGGCATGAAGATCTTTCTGGTCTTTCCCACATTCACTGCACTCCTGGGATTCCCCACACTTCAGAGTCAATGGAAGGGAATGCGGATTATAGTGCCTACTGTGACTAAAGTCCCTTCTCATCCCCACCCACAGTCCAGTTTAGAGAATGCCGGACAGAACCAGCTAACCAAGGACATAGAAGCATCTTGCTCCTTTCTTGATGATTCTCTGGATAATCTGCCAGACCTCTGCCCATTCCCAACGCATAATCACCCTGCCTCTTCGCAAAAAGGCTCTGAAGACCAACTCTGCCGGCCCCTACACTCGTAACCTCCACATCGGTCAACTCAGCCCCCCCAGCGGTCCTAGACGACAGTGCCTTCTTTCTAAAGCCAACCCTGCCTTTCGTACCTTGAGTCTATTCTTTCACATTACTAATAAGTGAAATTGTAATCATTACTAAATAATTATCTTAATAGGCCTGCCTAGGTGCCCAAAAGAGTCTGGGCCACGGAAAGGTCTCCATAAATACCCGTGGAATGGCTGAATGAATCCCACCCTGGCATGTGAGACGTCCTCACAAACCACAAGTCCCATCAGGCAGAGAGACTAAGGCACAGGCCCCCTGACCGTCACCCCCTCAACTCCCACCCTGGCCCGGACCCCACACACCAAAGTGGGAGTCTCCGCGGGCACCCCCGAGCTCTCACACGCTGGCGTGAACCCGCCTGAGGTTCCTTAGCGTCCCGACCCCATTGGTCACTGGCAAAAAGGCCCGTCGGCTCTGATCGGCGCGCGGCGCGCTCAGCCCTGGAGCCGGCGACAGGCACGCTTCCGCCGGCATCGGGGTGGGTGCTCCCTCCCGGGCTTCCTACCTCTGGGTTCCCGGACGAGCTGGTGGCCGAGCTTATTTGGGGACTTTTTGGAGATTTGACGGATGCCAGAGACTTTGAGCCCCCGGATGAAAACTGCCTGTAAAGCGTGTTATAAACAAGTGAAAAATCAGTGTTCTTGTCCGCCGGCACCGCAGGAGAGACTGGAGTCGCTGTCGACTCCCGGGGCTGGGAGACAAGGAAGGGTCTGGGAAGGACGCCCGGGGGCCTGTAAAGAGGGGCGAGCTCGGGTCCCGGGGTTCGTAACAGGGGCTTCAACCGTCCCGTCGGCCGCTGCTCCCAAGCGCTCAAGCCGCCTTCCTGCTTCCCTTCCGTGCTTCCACCCTGGTTCTGAGCGTCCGCGAGAGGTGGGCGCGGCCCGCGCCGCGGAATTGCCCTGCTGATGGGAACGCTGAAGCCTTCTCTCCTGCTTCACAGCGCTGACCCCACGAGTCTCAGCGCTTACCCGCCGCGCCCGACAAGGGTATCACGTTGCAGGCGACACCAATCTCCTTGCTGAGGTTTCTCCCCTACTCATCAGAATCGTCCGCGCCCTTTCCTACTGGGCTTTTGCTGAGATCCAGCTGCCCCCTCCATTTCGCGGGGTTCACCCAGGCAGGTCGCTTTGACATAGCTTCATTTCAAAAGCTGAGGGTGCAATGAAGAGCTTGTTGCAGAAGTGACCTGGTAATTCTTTTTGTTGTTGTTTGAGTTGGAGTCTCACTCTGTCGCCCAGACTGGAGTGCAGTGGCCGCTCCCGACCACCGCAGCCTCGACCTGCTGGGCTCCGGCGATCCTTCCGCCTCAGCCTTCCGAGTAGCCAGAATTATAGGCATGCGCTACCACGCCCGGCTGATTTTTTGATTTATTGTAGAGATGAGGTCTTGCTGCCCAAGCGGGTCTCGAACCCGCGGGCTCAGGCAATCCACTCACCTCAGCCTCCCAAAGGCGTGGGATTACCGGCTGAGCCACCGAGCCCAGCTGGTAATTCCTTTTTTGTGTGTGTGTTGGAGTCTCACTCTGTCACCCAGACTGGAGTGCAGTGGCCGCTCCCGGCCACCGCAGCCTCGACCTGCTGGGCTCCAGCGATCCTTCCACCTCAGCCTTCCGAGTAGTCGGAATTACAGGCGCGCGCTACCATGCCCGGCTGAGTTTTTGATTTATTGTAGAGATGAGGTCTCGCTGCCCAGGCGGGTCTCGAACCCGTGGGCTCAGGCAATCCACTCACCTCAGCCTCCCAAAGGCGCGGGATTACAGGCTGAGCCACCGAGCCCGGCTGGTAATTCCTTTTTAAAGGTAAAAGTTTGCTTTTAGGAACAGGGCTCAGAGGATGGATTTCAGGAGGTCCTTGAATTAATTTCCTGGAATTGCACGTATAGTTTTCTGGGCAGAGCTTTCCTGATTCTCAAAGAAGATTCTTAGTTTAACAGCAGTAAAAACCTGCTTTGGGCCAGAAGTCACTTAGTAGAACACTTGTAAAAATTAAATAGAAAGCAATAATAATCAGCAGAAGTCCTGAAATCTCAATCAGGTGACTTAAAAAAAAAAATTGGACCACCCAGATGGTCCAGAAGAGCTTACATGAAGAAAAATTTGTATGCCAGCACACACAATAGGTAACACTTGTCCTATTATGAAAGATGAGTCTCACTAAGTAAAGCAGAAGATCGAGGACGCAGAGTAAACGGTATATGCAAAATCAGAAGCTAACAGCATAACATGTTGGGGTACTTGGGTAATAGTGAAACTTACAAGGTGGGGATGTAACTGGTATACAAAGTCATTAAAACCACAGTGAAACAAATGCAGTTTGGAATAAACATTAGAGGCATCATATCAATAAAGTTGTAAAGAAATACTTTATTTACCCAAAGTATCAGTATACCACTAAAATTAGAGAAAATGTATATGGGCATAGCTTCAGAAATTCTGAAGGATATTTCTGAATACTTAGGTAGGATTTTTAGGACTGAAGCCAGTTTTTTTATTTTTAAAGTGGGTCTAAAATTCAGACAGTTCATGTATTTTTCTTAATAGTATTCTATTTGCACAATATTATAACTGCCCATCACAATTATGGTCAGGTATTGACTCCCAAGTAAGTTGAAGAGGGAGGCAAACAGAACGAAGAGAGAAATCTTCCTGAGATAACTGGGTGAGAGGTGGAAGAGGGCAGGGAGGAAATGAGGTTACAGGATTTGTGTATGTTTGTAACAAGACACAAGTAATTTCGTTCACCAGAATTCCTCTTGGGAAATACATGTTTTAAACACACACACACACACATGATGTTGGAAGATTCTTCTGGGAATGAGAGACCTCCTCCCTCTAAAGAACATGTTCAGGTACAACAGGTCACTAAGTTGGCTTCTAATGTTCCAGTGATTGTTAACTGAAGGACCTTTTCTTTTACTGAGTAGTGATGCATATAAGGTAAATGAACTGGGTGGGAGAGCGGTTGTGGGAACAGATTGGATATCTAGCAGGAAAAAAGTAGCTGAGGTGGCTGAGCCCTCAGAGGGGAAGACAAAGAGAAAAACCCTTTATTGACAGTTTGGCCAATAAGGGATTTCTGAGAACAAAGCGCCTAACAGGATGTAAATGTGAACCCTTCTCCACCTCTTACACAGAATCTTCAGTGAAGTCCATATAGCTCATGTAAGTGTTTGTGTGAGTAGATTCTTTGGGGGAGGCTTGAGGATGTGCCGAGTTCTCTATTAGAGTTGGCAAGAGGTGGAAATAAATATGGAAATAAAATATGCGAATGCAGGAATCAGACATTAAAGGGATAGGTGATATCTAGGTTTCACATAAGGAAATGGTCTGGGCACAATTCAATGCAAGCTTGTGCAATGAAAAAAGGAATGAGAGCACACAACACACTTGTAATCACATCACACTTGTAATCGCCCTTTCCAAGGGAAGAATTAAGTCAAAGAACTTCCCCTGAAAGAGTTTGGCTGTTAAGGGAGAGGTACCTGGAGGGATGTGAAACTAAGAAATCAACTGTTTATTTGTACAGCCCTTTTCTCAAGCCAAGGGTATAAATCTGGGGAGACCTATATTGAAGTACAGAATAAACCCACTTTGTGGATTTTTTGACTATGAGCAGTTGTTTCCAAGGACATGATTTAAATTATATTAAAATCGATGTAGTAATTAGTAATAGAAAATGTGCAAAGATTTTCAAATAAGGCAGTAATGAATCTGCCTATGTGCAACACAGCATACTGGTTAAGAACATAGACTGGTGTTGGAATCTTGGCTCTAGCACTTACTGTGTGATCACAGATAAATTATTTAACATCTCCCCGCCCCTGCCCCACATCATCTTTCAAGTTAGGGTAAGAATACCCACATCACTGATGCCTGCATAACTCTGTAAATTAAAAAATCATTCAACTCAACAATTTAAATGGGTGAATGTTATGGTATGTAAATTATACCATAATAAAGCTTTTTTTTCCTTTTTTTCTAAGAGTACCCACATCATAGAGATGCTGTGAAAATAAAAATGTAAACTGTGGGCACTGTGCCTGGCATGTAGCAAACACTCAATAAATATTAGTGATTAGTACTAGTGTAACAGAGAGTAAAGAATAGAACAGTAAAGATATATAAAATTAAAAATTTTTTAAAGAATCCAGGTGTTATTAAGCTGGTTCAAACTTCAGAAAGCATTTAGTTCAATTCCCCTCATTGTACAGATGAGAATAGTGGAGACCAGCAGGTGAAGTGCCTTATTCAAGGTCTAGTGCTAAGACCAGACCCCAGGCCTGCTGGATCCCCATTAGTGCAATTCTTGCTAACCATTCACTGCCTCAGAAACATGCACATGAAAAATGAAGGCTGTTTCTTTAAAGAAATAACATATAGGAGAACACAGAAAACATACATAGAGATGGTGAAGAAATAATTTCAAGGCTAAGGAGTAAAACCAAGAGGCTCTCACTTCCTGGCTTATCAGCCAGGGGCTCCAGCAGTGGGGTCCCAGGTCATGAGAGAAGAAGTGCTTTAGCAAGGCCAGACTCTGGTTGGTCAGGTAAACTGGCTCATCACTGTGGTTAGGTGTCTGAGAGGCAAAGCCACAGTTCTCTCTACTACTTCCTGACACAGGATCTGCCAACAGTGGCAGGAGCTGGGGCCAAAAGTGAATGCAGCAGAATTCTTGGGAGTAGTCAGTCTGAGCACCCTTGAAGTGGGGATAGCTGCTAAAAAGTTGCTTCTACCCACACTGAATAGTCTGACCTCAAATGTTTATCCCCTAGTGTTGCCTAATCGACCCCTCTGGAGTCTATGGCGTTCACTTATAATCCTGTAAATTACCCACAGATCCTCCATCATGGCAGCCACTTCAAATGAATGAAGAAGCCTAGCAGGAGATGTGAAATGACCCAAACTTCCTGATTCTTCATTAATGCTGCCATCTTCCTAGGAAAACTGATAGCAGGACTAGAAGATTTGAGGCTAGTAAAATCTTACTAAATTATTCCAATATGAAACAGTGGACAGGAGAATGAGGTGTGTCTTCCAAGTCATGACTTTCTAACATTTCAGGGGATAACATTCAATGAGTCAACTCTTTCATTCTTAGGAGGTAGCAGACCCTGTCCTGTCACTTTTTCCAAAGAGTAATTTAGGATAAATCACAGGTACAGAGCCTTAATGCTACGTGATCAACTGGGAAAGGAGACAGGAAGGGACAAGGGACAGAGGAGAATTAAGGCCTGAAATAGCTTTTATGATTTAACTCAGTACACTGAAACTTCTACATTAATAATTCATAAAAGTGCCCCATTGGCGCCTGTAGTCCCAGTTACTCAGGAAGTTGAGATGGGAGGATTACTTGAGCCCAGGAATATGAGGCTGCAGTGAGTGATAATTGCACCACTGCACTCCAGCCTGGGTAACAGAATGAGACCCTGACTCTTTAAAAAAAAAAGTGCCTCATCCTCTTCAACCATTTAAATTCAGTGAGAGGACAGATGAGGTTCTGTCCATTCATTTGATCTGAGAATTTGGGACAGAGATTATGAATAAATGAATAGTCTGGCTTTCCACAGAAAGCTTTCCTATTTTGTAGTTCATTCCATACAGTGAACACTTTGATGTCGGAGGAGGTGAGAGCTCCGACTAAAGGTCTTCTGACATTCTTGGCATTCATAAGGCTTCTCTCCAGTGTGAATTCTCTGATGTATGATAAGTTGGGAATGCTGGCTAAATGTTTTTTCGCACTCATTACATTCATAAGGTTTCTCTCCGATATGAATTTTCTGGTGGAGAAGCAGCTCAGAATTATCCCAAAATGTTCTTGCACATTCATTACACTGATGGGGTTTCTCTCCAGTATGAATTCTCTGGTGGACAATAAGGTGAGAAGTCCGCCTGAAAGCCTTTCCACACTCAAAGCATTCATAGGGTTTCTCTCCAGTGTGAATTCTCTCATGTCTAAGAAGTTCTGAGTTCCCCCTGAAGGCCTTTCCACATTCCTTACATACATAGGGCTTCTCGCCAGTATGAATTCTAATATGTCTAATAATCTCTGAGTTCTGGCCAAAAGTTTTCCCACATTCATTACATTCATAGGGCTTGTCCCCTGTATGAATTCTTTGATGCCGGATAAGCTCAGAACTCTGACCAAAGCCTTTCCCACATTCATTACACAGATATGGTTTTTCTCCAGTATGAATCTTCTGGTGTCTAATAAGGCCTGAGCTATGCTTGAAGGCTTTGCCACACTCATTGCATTCATGATATCTTTCTTCAGTATGAATTCTCTGATGCTGAATAAGCTGTGAACTAACCCTAAAGTTCTTCCCACATTCATTACATTCATAAGGTTTCTCTCCAGTGTGGATTCTCTGATGTAGAATAAGGGCTGAATTCTGACTGAAGGCTTTACCACATTCTTCACATTTATAGGGCCTCTCTCCAGTATGAATTCTATGATGGTGGATAAGATGTGAACTCTGAATGAAGGCCTTTCCACATTCATTACAAGCAAAAGGTTTTTCTCCAGCGTGAATTCTCAGGTGCCTTCGCAGGCTTGAATTAGTTCCAAATGTCTTCCCACATTCTTTGCATTCAAAGGGTTTTTCTCCACTATGAACTCTCATATGCTGGATGAGATGTGAGTTCTGATTAAAGGCTTTCCCACATTCTTTACATGTATGAGGCTTTTCTCCTATAGAACTTCTCTGTGTTTTGTTAGGCCCTAAATTCTCTATGAAGTTTTGGCCAGAGATAACAAATGTACTAACTCCCTCTAATGCGGAATCTCCCTGATGTGTAACCAGATTTGGGGTGGGACTGCAGCCTCTCTCACCCTCAGTATTCTCCTGGTCCTTCTCACTTGAGGGTGATTTCTTAAAGATAATCAATTCTGATGCAAAGTCTCTCTCCTGAGGAGACATCTGTTCTATAATCTCTTCCGTGGAGTCTCTCGAATGTCCCTCCAATATATCTTCTTCAAATGCTGCCCCAAACTTGTGACTTTGGTAAACTACTTCTGGAAGTTTTTCAAATATTGACCCATGTGACTCAGATTCTTCAGAGATTTCTTCCTTGGGAATCACCTCCTTGTACTCAGTCCCCATCTCACAATCTGAAATGAGAAAGGGCAAGTATGTAAGGTGACTATATCACATTTAAGTGAAGCTAATGCTAGAGAAGAACAGAGCTCTGACACAGTTCTAATAGCACTCAAGAACAGTTTTTGTATCTGGTGAAATGACAGATGCTACTGAAGAGAAGATAAAAATTTAGGATTATGGTACACATGCTAAACAGAGGATACTAACTGAAAAGAGAAAAAAAGATCAGTGGAAAATATTTAAAGACAGATACAGGAAATGGATGATAAAGAGATGCTGAGCCAGGCATGATGGCTCATGCCTGCAATCCCAGAAAATTGGGAGGTGGAAGTGAGAGGATTGTCTGAGCCCAAGGGTTCAACACCAGGCTGGGCAACTTAGTAAGACCTTGTCTCTACAATAAATAAAAAAATTAGCCAGGCATGGTGGCACATGCCTGTGGTTCTAGCTACTCAGAAGGTTGAGGCAGAAGGATCACCTGAGCCCAGTAGGTCAAGGCTATGGCAGCAGTGAGCATGCCACTACACTCCAGTTTGAGATTAGAGTGAGACTTCAACTCAGAGAGAGAGAGAGAGAGAGAGAGAGAGAGAGAGAGAGAGAGGCTAATAAAAAGTTCCATAGTAATAACAGTGAGTTGAGGTTGGTAAAAAAAAACACTTAGGGAAAATAGTGGCCATATTAATAGATGGGTATATGGAAAAGGTTAGAAGAAAGGACAAAAATGACTAGTTAATAGAAATAGCATTTGGGTATATAAAGGAAGTAACCACAAAATGAGTAGCAAAAGAAACTATTCTTAGTCCAGTCCTATAGTACTCACCAGATCTACAGAGCTGGGGATGGGATGTATAGGGGTTACCCATTCAAAAGGTGAATATGACTTAGTTACAATCAGCACAAAAGTATAGCAGTAACTACCTTTGGCTCCCTTACATTTGGATGAAGTAAGGTTCCAGTTTTAGTTTTTCCAAATAGCTAGTGAATTCCATCAATACTGCTTACTGAATAATTATTTTCCCTGCAGATTTACAATGCCACCTATACCATAATTTAAATAGCCATAAATATTTGGGTCAATTTCTGCATTCCATTCACTTTTTTTTATCTATTTCTTGTCTAATACCAAACAGTTCAACCTGCTGTAGCTTTATTAAAAATTTTAGAATACGTTAGAGAAAGTTCTCTACCTTTTTTTCAGACATTTCCTGTCTATTCTCATATTTTTCTAAATAACTTGTAGTATAATTTTGTAGTCCAAACTTATCCTGATGTTCTTTCTATGTCCATCATATCTCTGTACCTCTTTTTATTTAGTGAGTTTTTCTTATATTTTGTAACCAGTTATTACTTTTATACATATCATTACATATTAATTGATCATTACATATTAATTTTTTAATCAGCCCTTTTATTGAATTTTATTAATATATTTACAGATCTTAAATAATACATTTTTTAAACTTCTAAAAGGCTGTGGTAGGGATTTTTAGTTATCTACCCCAATTTCTATACTTCCCCATCTCCTTACAACAAAATAATAAATTTATTTAGAGTAGCAATTAGTCTAGCTAAAGAAATACATTTCTTTGCAGCTGGAATTCGCCATGTAACCAAATTCTGGCCAACTAGACAGTGAGATGTACATGAAAGCACATGGGACTAATGGAAATCTAAAAGATGAAGGGATGCATTTCTTCCATGCTGTTCCTGGGTCATAGCTGGAGCACCATCTTGAATCATGAGTACACCAGCATATCCTAGGCCTAGGGATCATAGTTAGAAGGAACCTGGATCCCTGATGACTCCATAGCACTGCCATACCAGTCTTGGAATGCTAGCCTCTGGACTTCATTTATCTAAGACAGAAATAAGTTTGGCTTTGCTTAAGCCATTTTTTTAAAACTGCATGAGGCCAAATCTATTCCTATTATAAATGGATTTAACTGTCTCCATCAAAGATGTGGGGTCCAAATGCTGGAAGAATGAGTCTGACCTCTGTTCACTCTTCATTCTGGTAAGCAACTTGGAACTAATATTGAAGTGGCCTTTAGCCGAGGTCAGTGTATTTGTGTACCACAGCAAATCTGAGGAATACAGTCCTCCCATTAGTAATAATGTTAATTGCGGAAGGTGATTCTTAAGGGGGCATGGGCAGGTATGGAACTTCATCCCTTAGACAATGCAAAGTAATGGGATGGTTTTTAAGTCTAAGAGTGACATAAACTCTGGCCAGATTAATATTTCAGGTAGATGCACACTAGTGGCTATTTAGTGACTGAACTAGAAAGCTGTAGGCCTGAACACAGGAGATCAGTTAGAAGACTGATAGAGTTATCAAGGCAAGAGGTGATATGATCTACTAGGGCAGTGGGGAAGAGAGAGACTGAAGAAATATTTAACAGGTCAAATTCTTGGTGTGTGACTGGATATAGGTATAAGAAAGAGAGAGGAGTCAAAGATGGTGCCCAGAGAGATGGTAATTGGATGGTGGTGCCACCAAGACTAGGAGGGAATACTGAGGAAGAACTAGTATAGGAGGAAAGATGATGAATGAGCTCTGTTTTAGAAAAGGTGAGTTTTAAGATATCCATAAAGAAGTATCAAGAAATCAGTCAAAATATATTGGTCTAAAGATTAAAGTAGTCAGTACTAAAGATACAGACTTGAGAGCACTCAGCATGAGTATAGTATAAGAACTGTCACAGACTGGGGATGGAAACCTAGGATTCAAAGCTAACAGTCACAAGTACTCCAATTATCTTCCATTTTCCCTTCTAGATCTCCTTTTCACCTTTCTTACCCTCCTTTCTGCCCTAGAAGGCTAAAAGGCTAACCTGTATGGCACACATCAATAGGCCTCTGGCTTCCAGCTATGTTTCACCAATCAGGGGCCCCAGGAGGAGTCTGGAAGTCAAGAGGAATGTAGGATCACAGGGTATTTATTCTCCAGGTTCCTTCCTGTGAGGTTGCTTTGGGTGATGTTGTCCTGCAAATGAAAGTCATTATTCCTCTCAAGGAGTCTATCCTACTCAATAGTCTGTCTGGGTCCCAGTAACCTCTACTCTCTCCCGTCTCTTCAGGCCCAAGGCTAGTGACCCCGCCACCATTACCAGCCCCAGGTTCCTCAATTTGAGTGAGCTGTTTCCTGTCCAGACTCTTGATAATAAAGTGGTAGGTGAAGGAAGAGAAGTAGGACAAAAAGATAAAGAATGATTAGTGAAGTAGAAGAACCATAATACTGTGTTACAGAAGTCACTTGAACAATGGCAGAGAGAATTAAAAGGTATCAAATGCAGCTGAGAGATTCAGTAGGCTAAGAACTGGATAATGTCTACTGAGACAACTAGGTGGTCACAAATGACCTGGAAGAACAAATTTAGTGGAATGGTAGAAGCACAAGCCAGATGGCAGTGGACTGAATAATGAATTTGCTGCTTCTTTCAAAAAAAAAAATGTAGATGAAAGGAGGAGACCAAAACGGACAGTAATGTGAGTGTGCTATACAGGTCAAGGCTTTTCTCTGATGGAAGAGATTTGAACATGTTTATATTAGAAGGAACAGTATCAGTAGAGAGACGGGGTAAGAGGGAAGATGCAATTACTGAAGAAACAAAGACCCTAAGTGGCAGAAACAGCTGGGGTCATGTGGTGAGGACAGGAAAAAGTAATGAATGGAGGGGTGACTTTGTACTGAACTTTCCTCTGCCCAGCCTCCAGTCATCCATAAGACGTTGATTATTACCACCACCTTATGCTGTGGTATCTCTGGTCACTCATCAGTGCAGTCCTAGTAATGTCCCCTTCCCCTGACACCCAAAAGAAACCTGATCTCCTACTGGAGTTCTGAAGATTCAGAAGCTCTTTTTATTACTTCTCAAAATGAACTGGAATTTTCTTCAACTTTTCCTACCTCAGTATCTTCTCTAATTTTTCCATGGAGTAAAAGAGGGCACCTAAAAGCTGTATTTCTCCTTTTTGTTGAAATCTTTGGAAATTATAGACAATATGTATCTACATAACTGTAAAGATTCATGCAGAGAATTTATCTATCTTCTTCATTCATGGCACCATCTGAGTTGGGAAGTACTGAGTTGGGAAGTACTGAGTTGGGAATAAAATTCTCTCTATTGCCCAGTACTGAGTTGGGAAGTACTGAGTTGGGAAGTACTGAGTTGGGAATAAAATTCTCTCTATTGCCCAGCCCCCAAAAAGTTCTACAAGCTGGTATTTCAGTCTCTACCTACTTCCAGCCTCCTCTCTGGCCTTTTCTTTTCAATCTCATGTCTCCTATAGTTGCTTCTTTTCCATCATCTAGTTCTTAACAAAACCAGCATTTGTAGAACCTCTATCTATACCACGCCAAATGGAAAATCATTTTTTCATAGTAAAACAAAATAAAATAGAAGTTAGACAGTTATGTATCTAATCCCAACTTCAAGACTTGGTTCAAAATTCAAAATCAGAACGTTTTCCCCAACTAAATATTACCCCCCTGACCATTCTTTTACTTTGCATTCTGCTAGTAACATAATATTAATGTCATTTGTTAAATATCACTTTACAGGTACCTTCTCAATTATAATTCAAAGTCATTCTCCATCTAGTTGATCTTCCCAGTGGCATAGCCATATATTAGGCCTCATCCTCACATGGAAACACTCCAACACTCCACTTCTCATAGCCTCAATTCAAATTCCCAAACACAATCTTCTGTTTCTTTCTTTTCCTTCTTTTTTTTTGAGTTGGAGTCATCTCATTCTGTAGCCCAGGCTGGAATGCAGTGGCATGATCAGGCTCACTGCAGCCTCAACCTCCTGGGCTTAAGCAATCCTTTTACCACAGCCTCCTGAGCAGCTGGGGCTACAAATGTGTGCCACCACACCTGGCTAATTTTTTGATTTTTTTTTGTAGAGATGAGGTCTCGCTATATTGGTCTTGAACTCCTGAGCTCAAGCAATCCTCTCATCTTGGCCTCCCAAAGTGCTAGGATTACAGGCATGAGTCACTGCAC